GAAAACCGGCCTCTCGGCGGGCTCCACAGAGGGCGAGGCCCCCTTGGTGGCGGCGGAGGAGCAGCAGCAGCGCCGGGGGCCCGCGCACGGCGGCGTGGGGGACTCGCGGCGCCTAACTTAGGGGGCTCCCGAGGAAAGCTTTGGGGCTCGTGGGGCTCGCTTTTGCCTCCCGGGGGGCCCTTTTGGCTTCTCCGTTGCTCTGGGGGGCTGATTCTCAGTCTGCCGAGGAGGGCGGCTCAGCCCTTGGCAGGCGAGGGGGGCGGGGGGCTTCGTTTCCCTAGCCCCCCCCGGCCCTGAAGCGTCTGCGGGGCAAGCCTCTGTCCTGTGGAAGTGGGGCTTCCGCCGGCAGTCCCCGAGGGCTGGGGCACCTGGGTTTAACCCAGGCTTCTCCAAAGGGGTCAGTACTGACCCCCAAGGGCCGGTGGGACGACCGGAGGGGCCAGTGGGGTTGTTATTCGTCGTACCGTTAGTTAAAATGGTATTTTATCAGGTTACTTTCTTATCATCGGCGTTTGGGGGTTGATGAACGATCTGAAACTTCACGGAGGGGTCAGCGAGCCGAAGAGTTTGGGGACCCTGGTGTAACCCTCTGCTTTGCTCCGCAGATCTACGCCCTCAACCGGGTGATGACCGAGCTGGAACAGCAGCAGTTCGACGCCTTCTGCAAGCAGATGAAGGCTTCCAGCGAGTGAGCCCTGCGGACGGACAGATCCCCGCTCCCCACGCAAGGCTTCGCTCAAGGTCTGGACACCGGACCACGGCCAGTGGTCTGTTAGAACCATGGTGGGAAGTCCCCAAGACCCTTTGTCCTCTGGACCACGGTGGCGCCTCTCAGGCCAAGTCCGCTTCCAAGTCCACCACAAGTGGAGTTCCTCATTGTTTGAACTGGTTTTTTAAATCCTATTTATTACGTGTTCCAAATAAATGTGTTTTATATATGAGTAAATAAATGTCTGTCTATGAGACCAGAGTTCAAATAAATGTGTTTTATATATGAGTAAATAAATGTCTGTCTATGAGACCAGAGTCCACCGCAGATCTGGTCAGGACCATTATGATGCCTCCAGGAAATCCATAAATCACAGAGACAGTTCTTTCAGTTTCCCCTGCTTCTCCCTCCCCTATAACGGCGATTCAGGGATATGCTGCCTCTTGACATGGAGGCTTTTCTTGTAGCCACTGATGGGTAAACTCATGGAGAACCTTCCTAAGGCTGTCGTTGTTTGGTGTGGCATGAACTTGCTCAAATGAATTCTTTGTTGCACAGAAGTGTCCTTTTGTAGATCTGAAACCTGATGGCCACCCCCTCCTCCCTGGCTCAAGGATGACGAGAAAGGGAGGGGGGAAAAACTTCCCCATCCCATCCACTGCCCACACCACACCACTTTTTCTCTGTCCCCTCCCCTCCTTTCCCTTCTTTCTGTCTGTCTCTGTTGGAGTGGCCGTTCTGGATTTACGCGGGGCAAACAGTCGGTAGCCGACAACGTGAGGTTCATATACCGATGAAAGGGGATGGTGAAGGTTGTAACCCCATCTGGAGAGCAGCAAGCAGGTGAATTTCTTCAGCCTCCCCACTCCTGCTCCAGACCTTCTGAATGCCCCCCTCCCTTGTCACAGTTCCCAAGCACCCACACCGTACAAGAGCAAAAGCACAAGACGGTCTCTTTGGTGTTTTCCAAGTTTAATTTTTCCCCCAAACACAAGAACATTAGTTTCAAGTATAGTTTTCCAGTAGCACAGTCATCTTCCTGTCTCTTTTTTCCTCCTCCTGTGTTTTTATCAAACAGCTCTTGGGAAGAAAAAAGACAATTTCCTAACTACTTCATTACCTTGATAAATATAAAAAATATATATTAAAAGCGCTACCTGGCACAAGCATTTGGGACTGCTCTTTTCACAACACAAATCTAGGATTTCTGCCATGATTCTGACAAGAATTGAGGCTGGGGTGGAAGTCAGCAAGTTCTAGGTCCCAAACCTCCCGGCGGGTGTACAAATGATTTCTCTGGCAAAGCTGAGCAGCTTACAGATGTCGGTGGGAGTTTACAACTCCCATTAGCCCCAAGGCCAGTGGCAGAGGATGCTGGAAGCTGTGGTTCAGCATCATCTGGAGGGGCACCAATTGCTGGCCTGCTTGCTCAGCAACCTTTCTTCTGCTTTTGGAGATCTTTCTTTACACGAGACTTGATTTGGAGGGCCAGCTTGAGGGAACATTTCCCCAACTCTGTCTCTAGTAGCAGTTCCTCCCCACGGCGACAGAGATTAGGCTCGATTCTGGATGGCACACAGAAGGGCAGTTTTTCAGCTGTCCTGCCTTGGCCTGGCCTCCCTCTCTCCTCTTAAGGAAAGGCTACTCCCCAGAGTAGAATGTGCTGCATGAGGCCCCCAACTCTCTTGTCTCTTAAGAGCCAAGAAGTGCTTGGCTGTCAGTTTCAATCGCATTGTGGGTCAAAGATCATTTAAAATCATGCCCATTAAGAGCTGGGCTCTGCTCTTATTCTACCTTTGTAGGCCCGGATAATGAGGGGGCAGTCATGCATAACTTTCTCCTCCTCCTCCTCCTCCTCCTCCTCCTCCTCCAAGGGCCAGGTATGGTCTGGAAAGCAATAGGATTTCCTCCTGCCTCAGCTCAAAGGTTGCAAATTTAGCTAGTCCATCTGTTGCAAAATCTGGTTAAAGAAGGAAGGGACCTCTGATTCATCCAGAGTGAGGACGCCACACGAATGAAAAGCATACTCAAATATTCCCCATGTCCCTAAAAACTCTCAGCAAGTAAATTACTGGCTTAAAAAAGTAAAAATCTAAGCAAGATTTTCTTCTCTTAAAACTATATTGCACTTTATATATACATATAAAGAATCTGTACTGTACATATCTACACTGGCAAAAGGCTCAGCACGTTAGCCGGCTGTTGGCTTCGTTCTTCAGGCAACAGGCAGCCCGGATTGGAAAACACTGCCAGAAACAATGGAAAAATCTCCCAGAAGTTATCAGCTCAAGGCGATGGAAAAACTTTAGTATGGTTTAGGCAAAGTATGGGTTTTTAACACTGGATCAGTCCATCTCCCCAGTCCCAGAGACTGCCTTGGCACAGGTGCAGTTCTGGGATTGCCCACGCGTGCCCACCGATGACGTTAGACTTTGCATCTCCACAAAGCATTGGGGAAGAAGATGTATGACGTGGACCAAATCAGGAAGTAGACAGAGGCCGGGAAGGAGGCATGAAACAAGAGCGCCAGGATACCTGCAGTGGCCGAGAGAGAGAGAGTTGAAGAAGCATCTTGATGCAAGGCAGGTCGGATTCTGAATCCCCTGCTTGGCACCGCGTGCTATTTTGAAGACCCGTCAGCTTTCAGTTTTACGCATCAGACTGTGTCCCAGAGCTATAGCAGCAGGGGAATCAACAGCCTTGCACCTCCAGATCACAGGTGGATTCCCACTCCAGATCACCTGATTCATGGGGGCCAAAGTCCCATTTCTCCTCCTCTCTGGAATGTCAGCACACCTTTGCTGCAATCCCCACCCATTAAGGCTTTCTCCCCAGAGGAAACAAGAGTGGTTTGTTCAGTTCTGCTCCCCATAAAGCCTTGCAAGAAGAGTTCAAATGCAACTGGGAATTATGGAGTGACTTTATGAGACGGTCCAACGTTTGCCACTCCAAGCAAAATTAGCTTAACACTCAGAAGACGTGAGACATCTGTAAAGGCCTCCCTGTCCCGTGGATCAAGGTTTGCTTGCACATATAAGCAGGAAGGGCAGCTAACTTTATTTTTCCCCAAATGGAATCATTTTAGCTTCCCACACCACACAGTCCCTGACTCCACCTTTTTGCAAGCCCTCCCTCTCCAGGGACTAATAAGGAGACTGCGGGGCCCAGATTTTGGAACAGTCCAAAAGTTCCTCTAAACTTAGCAAAACAGCTTCTAAGCCTTTGAAGACCAGCTAAAAATTCTTAAACTGGCTCAAACCGTGTCTGAATCTCCAAAGTGATTGCAAATAAGGCTTTTTTTTTCTTTTAAAGACAAGCCTAGTCTTACATGACAAGGGAATTCCTTCACCCCACTGCTTTCCAGATGTGGGAAAGCTCTGTACTTACCCACTCCAAAGACAACCTTCTTCCAATGCTGCGACTCCAGGACTTTGTCATGGGGGTAGAAACCCTGGTCCACCATGAAGAGAATCATCACTATGGCGACCAGGCGCATGGCCACGAGATGACCTCCGGTCAGGAAGTAGGTGGATGCTACCACTGAGGCACCGTACGGGCACGGCAACCCCCGGTACATAAAGGGCATTCCTGCGGATGGGGAAAAGGGGGGTGTTTGGGGGAGATGAAAAGGCATGCGTGAATTAAGTGAGCTGCAGACATAGTCCTATCTTCCACCCCCCACCCCCCCCAAAAAAGGCTGGAGCTATGTTGTATCTTCACAAAGGAGATTTATCTGTGCTGTTGGACCTTCCGTGGCCACTAGGTTAAAATGTCAGCTGGGGATTTTGAAAAGTGCACCAATTCCTTTGTGGAACTGCAGAACCCAGAATCTTTTAGAAAACGCAGAACTGAAATATCCCTTGGCTCTGCTATAGTTTCTGATTGAAAAGCGCCCTTCTCCCTTCCTCGGACACCTGGTGATGGCTGTTTGTGGCATCAAAAGGGGAGACGGCTCTTTAAAAGCTCCCCCCCCCCCAAATGAGAGCTTCTCCCAGCCAGGCGCAGCTCCAGACTCACCACTGGAGAAGAAACACAGGCGTGCGAACACCGCCAGCACGTAGACGATCACCAGCAGGCTGTCGAGGATTCCATGGGCCTGGAGGAGAAGGCCTGTGGCCAAGCCGAAGGACGTGAAGTCTGCGAAGTCGTCCAGTTTAGCCCCTGCAGGCGACGAGAACAGGGACGTGGTTAGTCTGCGGTAGGAAGCAAGCAGAACAAAACACACCCAGGATCTGCCCGGTGTCACTAGCCCAGGACGGACGCTTCTCTTCAATGGCTCGCTTTCACTCGTTGGATGATGCAAAAAAGAAATGATAACCTCAGCGTTTCCTCTGCTTGGGAGGAGCGAGGAGATCCAACAGCGCCTAGCTGACTTGGGGCAGAGGCTTCCAGAAGAGAGGACTGGGCAAATCAAATGAGGAAAAATCAGTGAGCACTCTCCAACATGGCGCCCTCCAGATGCTGGCCAAGGACAAAGGAAGGGTACCCAGTTAGGAAAAGCAGCAAAAGATATTCAGGCTGCAGTCTGTCAAGGCTAAATGAGGGCATATAGGGCTGTGAACAGGTGAAATGTGAAACTGCCCAGCTCCAGGGCTTACCCACTTTAAAAGACGTGGCCGGTGGCTCCCTAGATACCACCCACAGATTTATGAGAAGGACCGAGGGGTCTCCAGTCCTCCAGTGGCCCGGAGCCCGTGAGGTCGGGCTTCTTGGATTCCCCCGCAGCACCAGGTCCTCCCCTTGTCAGGGCTCCTCTCTTCAGGGACGCCCTGATGCGTGGCTTGGCTGTTTTCACGTCCTGCGACACCTGGAGGTTGGGCAGGTCTTGGTGGTTCGCCAACTGAAGTGAGTCGGAGGGGAGGCATGGAGGCCCAAAGGGGGTGGTGGGGACTCACCCAGCGCAGAGCAGGCGTTGAGTTGTCTGGCGACGGCTCCGTCAGCAAGGTCCAGCAGGAAGCCAGTCAGGACGAGCCAGCATGCGTAGTGGTACTGCCTGGAGACAAAAAAGGCAGGGGGTCCTTCCGGGGCTAGCCCTGGGCCTGGATGCCCCCCTTCTCACACCAGAGGAGGTCCACCCGTCCCTGCACAAGCCACCCCATCCAGCTGTGGCTGCTGGACCCAGAAAGGCCTGGGCAATAGGAACTGTCTCTGTCTCAAATCCAGCTAGACCCCGACCTTTCCTGCGTCGGCAGAAGGAAGAGACTGCAGCTTGGCACTGCCAGCGCAGAGGTAGCTGAAGCTCAGGAGAGACATATACAGCAAGGCTGCCACCGTGCCCCAATGTTCTCTGCAAACACCACAAAAGTGGGGCTGGAGCACCCGCTTGGGTCTTTCCCATCTGCCCGAGAGCTTCAGTTTAGAAATGCTGACTAGAGTTCATCCCTACCGGGGGGCCAGAACACAGAGCTCTGTGCCAACCTTCAACGCACCCGTTAAGGCTGCAGAGGACCGAGGAGAGGCCCACGACGAGGTTGGCCACGGAGATCGAGTTGGCCGCATTCTTGCGCAGGAACTCGACGGCTTGCGCGCGGCCGGCCTGCTCGCTCAGGAAGAGCTTCTTGGTGTACTGGAAGATTCCTGGAAGACATCAGAAAGGGCAGAGGGAGAACCCAGCAGGATGCTCGGGCCAGGGGAAAAGACCCTGAAGGGCAGGGAGGACCGCCTCTGTCCCACCCCTGCTCTAAACGGCTCCCTCTTGGTTGCAAAAAGGAGAAATTCGGGATTACGAGATGGACAAGGCCAGCCGCGTGTTCCTCTGGCTGGCCCAATCGAGTGTGCTGGTTCTCCCATCCTTGGGAAGGGCAAGGCTCGAAAGAGAAGGCGGGCAGGCTTTGGCCCCCACGACAGCCCTGAGGCGTCCTCCGGGGTTCCAGCTCCCTAGGCCAGCCTCCCCCGCCCCCCACGGCATCTTTTGGAGAGACCCATTCAAGTGCCTCCGTTGTGCTGGAACATCACTGGGGCTGCTTCAGCACGCGTGGCCTGGACGCTGCCCACCCTCGGAAGCCCGTGTGCATTGCAGGAAACATGCAGAGGGAGGCAGCCGCTACATGCAACAGCCCAGCTCTTCCCCAACTGCCACGGCCCCCCACGGTCGGTTAGTTCGTTCTGTCTGCGTGCGTTACACCGACGCTGCCAGCCCCTGCCCCAGGTTGCACAGACGGCCGTGTCATTTTTTAAAGAGCTGGGGGGGGGGATGCTGCTGTTTTTAATTCCCTCCACAGCCCCCCTCCTTTACCCATCCAGCCAGCCAGCCTACACCTCGTGGAAAAATAAAGAGCCCCCTCCCTCAAATGGGAACCAGGAGAGGCCACCCGCCCTCTGGACAAGAGATTTCCCTTATCTGGCAGAGGCAGCAGCCCTGGAAGCCTTCTCTCCAACCCCGCCTCGCCGAAGAGGCAGCTTCCCTCCGCCCTCGGGCAGGACCGTGGCTGCTTACTCAACCCCGGACGAAGGAGAAGCAGTCAGCTGATGACCCGGCTGCCCGCACCACCCGCCACCTGGGCTCCCTGCCTCCCTC